AGTTGTCTTGCCAGTGGGTTTCAGCCCTGGGCAAGTTTGCTATGGATTCAATGTGACCAAAGAAATTGACAGCAAAACGTTCTTTTGGGTGAAAGGGTTTATTACCCGGCTTGTTCTCCCGGCAGTAGGTCGAGCATTAGCGTCTCTGCCTCTGCCCAGAGCACTGGGCCAAGCTCTCTATATAGTACAATAATAGCTTATTGCCAGAACGTGTGGAAGTGGTAGCCTAGCAACAGGCCAGTTACATCATCATGTGGTTAAGTTCAGTGAGGATCCTGGCCATAGGAACCCCAACTTCCCCACAGGCACTTATGAGGGTTGACTACCATTTGTTAGGCATTAGGTATTGAAAGAAGAGACATTTCTTTCCTTCGGATATCTCAGTTTATTGAAAGGGAAATTCTGCCTCCTACATGGCAAGTTCTACCTTAGGTAAATGCTTGGGATACATGTGTGAATAGATAGAACAGAACAAAAACAAAATAAAATTTAGAAGTCTTTGTCCTGTGGAACTGATGTGTTATTGGGTGGAGACAGACAATAAACAACAAACCTAACAAATAATTAGATTATGTTTGAAGATGATAAGTGCTATGGGAAGAAAATCAAGTAGAGTAAGAGATTAGGAGGGCTGACTGTTGTGGTGTAGGTTGAAATGTTAAATAAATCAGGGTTGACCCCTTAGAGAAGATGGGATTTGAGCCAAAATTTGAAGGCAGTAAGGGAATTTACTATGTGACTGTCAGGAGCATTCCAGGAGAGGGAACAGCCAGGCCCAGGGAGCATACCTGCCTAGCAAGTCCCAGGACCTGCAAGGGGGCCTGTGTGTGGCCACTAAGTAAGAGAGTAATTGGGGATGAAGTCCTGAGTTGGGGTGGGGAGCTGGGTTTAAGGACTGGCTGTTACCCTGACTGAAATGAAGAGGCATTGGGCACTGAAAGCTTTAGGTCTTAAATAAATAAGCTTTTTTATTTTAGAATGATTTGGGGTTTACAAAAAATTAGTGAGTAGCACAGAGCTCTTATATACCCCACACCCAATTTCCCCTTTTATTAACATCTTGTATTAGTTTGGTGCACTTGTTATAATTTATGAAACAGTATTAATTACTAACTGAAGTTAGTACTTCATGCAGATTTTGCTAGTGTTTACCTGATGTCCTTTTATTGTTCCAAAATCCCATCCAGGACACCACCTTATCTTTGATCATCATGTCTCCTTAGATTCCTTTTGACTATGGCAGTTTCTCAGGCTTTCCTTGTTTTTGATGACCTTGAGAGTTGTGAAGCAATCAGGTATTTGAAGAGGTACTGGTCAAGTATTTTATGTAATATCTTTTAACTGGAGTTTGATGTTATTCTTTTAGAGTGGGTTTAGGGGTATTGGGGAAGAAGACCACAGAGGTGAAATGCCATTCTCATTCCATCATATCAAGGGTACATGCTATCAACTTGATTGTTGTCACGGTGAATCAGTTGACATTAACCTTGATCACCTGGCTGATGCAGTGTTGAACAGGTTTCTCTAGTGTAATGTTATCCCCCCACCACCACTCCCTGCTTTTTATACTGTACTCTAGGAGTCAGTAAGCATGGCCCATGTTTCAGGGGTGAGTATTTTGCTCCATCTTTTTGAGGTGGGGAGCATCTCAAATAATTATAAATTATTTATAATTCTTCTGCAAAGGAAATTTGTTTCTTCTCTCCCATTAGTTTATTAATTTATTTATATCAGTATGGGCTTATAGTTATTTTAGGGTTTGTATTGTAAGCTATTATTTTGTTACTTATTTTGTTGCTCATATTATTCCCGCTTCAGCCACTAGGAGATCTTTCAGTTGGCCCCTGTGTCCCTTTGACATACCCCATCATTTTGATTTTATGAGTAGTTCTTTTCTAGTAAGTACTACAGGATTCTAGTACTTCATACTCATCTTTAGATATTCCCTGCTACAGCCCTGCAATCAGCCATTTCTCAAAGGAGGAGACCTGGCTCTTTTTATTAGAGAATGCTGTTAGAAATGGGGCACTGGGTGGGCTCATGGCTGCTGGGGTACCATTGCTTTTAGGCCCGCTCAGCTAACAGCTAATCCATATATATGTACATATCTGTAATTTGTCTGTATCCATCATTGTATGAAGCCAAACATGAGTTCCAACTCTAATCCTGTATCATTGGAGCACATGGATCATTTTAGCCTTCCCTCGTGCTTATTTGTAACCTCTCACTCCAACAATGAGAAACTTGGCTTATTGAAATATTTTGAGCAGAGGAGTTGACATGATCTGATTTAAAATTTAGTGAGATGACTGCTGCTATGGAGAAAAGACCTTAGGAAGTTGGAGGGGAAGTAGGAAGGCCAGTTAGGAGGTGTTTGTTGAAATATAGCTAATAAGAGAAAGATACAACAAAGCGTGAAGCTAAATGAGTAGGGTTAGTATGTAATACTTGTGAGGAAGAAGTATGGTAGAGAAAATAATTTAGCATTACCTCTTTGATTTGGAGGGCTGGAGGATTAAGCGTCTCTTCTAAGAAAGCCCCAGTACTAAGTATATAAAGCACCAGCAAAGCAAAAATGATCTGAACTAGAAATCATTACATAAAGTTTGAGATCTGAAGTCTTAGTGACATTTTTGAAATTTGGATGTACTTCTGTATTCTGAGTTAGGCAGGCTGTAGATCTAACCCATTGAGTGATTCATATACTCATAACAAACATAGGGTGCCTACTGTTCATCACATAGTGTGCTAGATGCTTGCATTCAGGGCACTATGGGTTTGGTAGTTAATGCTTCTAAATCTGATACATAATTAATTTTGAGAGACTGGTTCATTTGCTGAGAATTTTTCTGAAGTCTGGCTCTTTGAGTGGGACATCTTGCATTGATTCTCACAACTTTACTGTTTTATCTGCATCTCAGGAAAGACTTGTAGAGCTTGAGTGAGCCAGAATCTGGTGGACACTAACACATAACACCCTGTTTTGGTGTGTTAGAGTATTCTTATTATAGCTTTGTAATTATTTAATAATTTTATAATAGTAAAACTTATTGAGGGCTCCCTATGTGCTGAGTTTTAGGTGTTTTTAGAGTAACTCCTTTGCAAGTTGGGTATTTCTGTCTGTTCTTTGGGTAAAAATTTGAAACAAATTATGCAAATACACATTTACCGCATGAACCTAATCTTTCTACTTTTAGTATACATTATCATAGTAAGCTATAGTTGTTTTGTGTCTAGGTAAACATAACTTTTTTAGGTCATGAAAACAATGTGTATTTGTGAAGAATCATTTAAAAATACAAATACAAGCAAAAAAGAGAGTTCTACTTTATTTTTTAAGAGAAGGGCGTTACAGTGTAGTGAAAAAGCACTGGACTAGCAATTAGGAGAACTGGATTCCAGACCATATACTCTGGAAAGCTGGATGCCCTGGGGTAAAAGATTGAACTTTTGGGGATTCATTTTCCTCACACATAGCGCAACAGGGTTGTCAGTTCTAATTGTAGGAGTTGGGGTATCTTCATTTAATTTTTTAGCTCTTTAATTTTTTTATGGTTGTGTAACAAAACATTATATTTTTGCCCTCATTATTGAACATTTAAAAAATGATAGTAACCTCCATCGCCTGTTCCTGTTGAATCAATGTAGGCTCTAACTTACCTGGTAAAAATGGGATAGAGTTAATGCGTAAATCACCTGTGGTTTTGCTGAACGCTGAATAAAACATTTATTATAACTAATTCTTGCCCTTATTCTATTTATAATAACCAAGATTTTACTGTTAAACTTCAGTCAAGTATACAATTAACTTCTTATTTAGTTTTTAATACTACAGAAGGAGGGACCTATCTATTTCTGAGACCTATTTTTTTACTTCTCACAGTCTCTAAGGAGAATAGTCGCCATATTCATGGCAGGGATTTTGCCATTAATAGTTCAGAGGCCTCCAGGCAGACTGAAAGTAAGTATTTCTTTTCAAGAATTATCTTGTTTTTTCTATTCCTCAAGATATTTTTCTTTCTCTTTTCTAATTAACAAAACATACAAGCAGGTTAAACTTTATGAGTTCCTCTTTTTACAAATTATTTTTTAATGTCAAGGGTTATATATGGTTTATCTGCTGTTTTATCCCTAAAGATTTGGCATCAAAATCTCTTTCCCTGGAGAACATGCTGGTGAAAAATGGCCAGTCAGCCTTAATCTTTTTAAAGTTTCAAGTGTTTTTGCTTCACTTATGAAAAAGTACATTTTCAGTCATAAAAAATAAGTAAAACAAAACAATCTGCCAGAGACCATTTGTATTTTCAAACATGAGTTCAAACATGTAGTTCTTTTTGGTCTTTTAGAAACTGCAACGGTGCAGCCTAATTTATTCAGGAGGGCTGCTGGCCATAAATGATAATGTCAGGTGCTTTACTTACATTACCTTACCCTCAGATTAATCCTCAGTATTACTTCCTTTCTATAGCTGAGGAAACTGACCCTCTGAGAGGGTCAGCATCTCATCTCTCACAGAGCTAGGGTGCAGTGCCCATTGTCTTGCCCGTGTTTGTCCTTCCCCTCTGCCACTCACTCCTGATTGTTCTCTACTTTTTTTATACCAGCTCTGCAGTACAGGTAGGTCATGAAAAGGAGTGAGTATTTCCCATCCAGAGAGGAGCTTCCTGGTGTGAAGGATTGCTGTGAATCCTTTTTCTTCAGCAGACAGAGAAAGAGGACTAGAGAATTGCAGAAAGGGAACAAGAGATAGGAGCCTGGAGTGATGGCACTGTTGGGACTAGAGAGGAAACTGGAAGCTCACTGGCTTTCTTTGACATTGAGTTATTGAAGGTGAAGTACTACACATTGTCTAGCCCAGGGGTTGGCAAACTGCAGCCAGCAGGCCAGCTTCAGCCCACCCACCTATTTTTGTAAATAAAGTTTTAATGGAACATAACCATACCCATTTGCTTATATATTGTCTATGGCGCATTCGCCCTACAGTGGCAGAGTTGGGACTTGGCAATGGCAACTTACTGTCTGGTCCTTTATAGAAAAATATCACCACTCCTGGTCTAGAAATTAGTATTTATGTGTTTTTTGCTTTATAATCTGTTAGTGGTGAGATGAGATGTATTCATTCGCTTAGGGACTGAGATAAACTAATAATTGCTTTTTAGATAAAAACAGACTTTTTTTAAAAAAAAAAAAGAACCAAAGTTGGTAGGTATGGATTTCCGCACTAGAGTTCTAAACAATAAATGTTTTATTTTATGTCATATTTTAGACTCTTATTACAAAAGGTATGGAGCCTGTCATACGTATGGATTGGATTCGTCACAAATTTACCAGGTCAAGAATTCCAGATAAAGTAAGAACAAGAGATTTTGTGCATTTTTTTTTCTATTTTTTTAAACATACTTTCTTTCAAAAGGTACCTGTTTTTGTAATATTGAAAGCCTTTATGTTAAATTATGTGTGGATCTGCACTATTACCTACATCCACACATAATTTCACATAAAACATAGTAGGATTTATGTACAGGATGATTACTAAAAATAACATGCCACTGGCCTTCAAAGTAGTGGGTTTTTGTCACTCAGAATCTGTGTATTCCTGTTTTTTTTCTTTAATATTTTATGTTACCATATCAACATTGTCCTGAGAAAAATGTGGTCTTCCCCCAACTCAGGGCTCTGTTTATATGCTCTTTGTGTTCATTTTCTGTACCAGCTATTGCTATTTTTGATCTTGTGGTTTCTCTGCTAGATTTATGCATACATATCATTGTTAAAGAAAACACTGGCTAAGCCCTCCACTGATTTTTTTGTTTTGTTTTTTTTAACTGAGTAGGCTTTATTTCTTAAAGTACTTTGAGGTTTATAGGAAAACTGAACAGAAAGTGCAGAGTTTCCAAATACTCCCTCCTCTGCTACACAGTTTCTTTATTACCAACATCTTGCTTTGGTACGTATTTGTTGTATATATTGATGAACCAGTAGCAACACATTATTATTAACCAAAGTCCATACTTTCCATCAGGGTTCACTGCTTGCATTACACATTCTGTGGGTTTTGACAAATGCATAATGTCCTGTATTTACCATCAGAATAGTATACAAAATGGTTTCACGGCCCTAAACATCCCCTGAACTTTGCCTCTTCATCCCTCCTTCTCATCTCCCAATCCCTGGCAACCACTTGTCTATAGTTTTGCCATTACCAGAATGTCATGGAGTTGGAATCATACAGCATTGTAGCCCTTTCAGACTGGCTTCATTCCCTTAAGCAGCATATAGTTAAGGTTCCTTGATGTCCTGCCATGACTTGATAGCTCTTTTTTTTTCCTAATCAACTGTATATTTAATCAAAGTAATAATAAATCATGAGTTAACTAGAAAATCTCTGGCTAGAACTAACATGACTTTGAAAAGATCAAGTTGTTTTCCAGTAAAGTGGCTAGAGACTCAGCAATTAAGAAGGTACTGGAAATAAGGCACATTTTTATAACCCAAGTTTTCTGACTGTGCAGCTCATTTCTATTTACTGCCACATGATATTCCATTGTATGGATGGATGTACAACAGTCTATCACATTCACCTCCTGAAGGACATCTTGGTTACTTCAAGTTTTGGCAATCATGAATAAAGCTGATATAAATATTCACGTGCGGCTTTTGTGTGGACATAAGTTTTTGACTTACGTGAGGTATATATCTAGAAACGTAATTGTTGGAATGTTTGGTAAAACAACTGCATTTGGTTTAGTAAAGCTGGGTTTTGTTTTGTCTTTTTTTTTCATTACTCCTCCAATTTTTTGTATTGTGGCAACTGTATGTAACATAAAACAATATATCAGCTGTTTTTAAGTGTATAGAGCAGTGGTATTAAGTATATTCATGTTGTTGTGCAACCATCACCACCATCCATCTCCAGAACTCTTCATCGTACAGAATTGAAACTGTGCCCATTAAACAATGCCTCCCCATTCCCTCACCCCCAGCCTCTGGCCACCACCATTTTCCTTTTTTTTTTTTTTAAATTTAAAATAGTGTTGCTATTCAACAGGCACATGAAAAGATGCTCCATGTAGCTAATTATCAGGGAAATGCAAATTAAAACTACAATGAGATACCACCTCACACCAGTCAGGATGGCCAACATAGAAAAGACTAGGAGTAACAAATGCTGGTGAGGATGTGAAGAAAGGGGAACCCTCCTACACTGCTGGTGGGAATGTAAACTAGTTAACCATTGTGGAAAGCAGTATGGAGGTTCCTCAAAAAACTAAAAATAGAAATACCGTATGACCCAGGAATTCCACTCCTAGGATTTACCCTAAGAATGCAGGAGCCCATATTCAAAAAGACATGCACCCCTGTGTTTATCGCAGCACTATTTACAGTAGCTAAGAAATGGAAGCAACCTAAGTGTCCATCAGTAGATGAATGGATAAAGAAGATGTGGTACATACACAAAATGGAATATTTTTCAGCCATAAGAAGACAGATCCTACCATTTGCAACAACATGGATGGAGCTAGATGGTATTATGCTCAGTGAAATAAGCCAGGCACAGAAAGACAAGTATCAAATGATTTCACTCATCTGTGGAGCAGAAGAACAAAGCAAAAACTGAAGGAACAAAACAGCAGCAGACTCACAGAATCCAAGAATGGACTAACAGTTACCAAAGGGAAAGGGACTGGGGAGGGTGGGTGGGAAGGGAGGGATAAAGTGAAAAGGGGCCATTATGATTAGCACACATAACATTAGTGGAGGGGCACAGGGAAGGCAGTGTAGCACAGAGAAGACAGGTAGTGAATCTATAGCATCTTACCACGCTGATGGACAGTGACTGTAATGGGGTATGTGGTGGGGACTTGATAATGGGGGGAATCTAGTAACCACAATGTTGCTCAAGTGATTTTATATTAATGATACCAAAAAAAAATAGTATTGCCATTGACTGTTTTACACCTTTAGTGTACTTGACATTCTTTTACCAGAAACCTTTTCTTAAGTCATAGTCTTTCTGCCACTGTCCTTTCCACAAGTGCATTATCTTATATCTTCTGTGTTTCTTAATCTGTAAACTTCTGGAAGAGAATGATAGATACAAATGTGAGTATTTGTTTAAAATGTGCAAGACAGTTATTTTTATCACCAGCTATAATAAAGGTGAAAAGTTTTAACCTTTATAGTGTGTATATCCAGCCCTTGTAGTCTTCTAAACTTATGCCTGTATTCTCATATAGTTTCTAGATCATGCTGCTTGGATAACTCATAAGCATTTGAGTTAAACATCCAAAATTAAACTCACTATCTTATTTTCCCTCCGAACAATCAAACAAAAAGAGGGTGCTCATCCAGTATGAATGGTGTCAGTTAATGCTACATCCTCAAGCTGATATCCCAGGCTGGAGACCTGAGTAAATCTCCACCCCTCCTTCACCACCACAGACCCATCTATTTTACTGCCCCAGGCTTGAAATGAGTCCCTTTTCGGTTGCAACTACTATAATTCAAGCTTTTAACCATGGCCATACCTTCCTACCCTTGTTTCCTTATACCAGTCTTCGACCTCCAGTTCATTTTATTCTCTTGTAAGAGTTTTCTCTCTATCTATTTTTGAAATATGATCATGCTGCTCCAGATTTTCAGTAGCTTTGTATCCCTTCTGGAAATTTCTAAAGGCTCAGCATAGTTGAGCCTTGTTTAAGTTCATCCCCCGCATTGCTTTTCATGCTTTTTTCCTACTCCAGCCCCATGGAACACTCGATTTTTCCACGATTTCATGCTCTTCACACTGTTCCCTTAAATGTTCTTTAGCGCACCTATCCCATCCTCTGCCTGCCACCATTCTTCCCCTCCTGTATATCTTTGAAATCCCTAGAAAATGCAAACAAGCAAAACCAACTGGAAAACACCCTTAATGCCACCCACCTGGAGACAGCTACTGTCAACACCTTCTACATCCTTTTCTGTTACGTGTTTTCAAAGATGTGAATAATCTCATATGTAACGCTTCTCTAGTTGCTTTCTTCTTTAGCAATATAGTATGACCTCTTAGTAAGTTTCTACAATACTGTTTTTAATGATTGAATAGTATCCTTTTTGATTTAAGTACCATCTTTTTTATGTGTGTTTCCTTTCTTGGACTAATTCCCCAGAGGTATAACAACTCTTGAGCTAACGTCTTTGAGACCTTTTACATATATAGGAATATATACGTACATATATAAATACACACACACACATATATACATATATGTGATTCTTAGATTCAGTATTTGTAGAATATGTCATATATTCACACTCATATATTTGGTATAGATGAAACAAATACACTATCCTACTGCACATAGTGGTATGGAAATGTGTTTTTTTGTTTGGTTTGGTTTGGATTTTGCTCAAGAATGTATTATGGCCATCCTTTAATGTTAGTAGCTGCAAAGATAGTAAACCTTTATAGTGGCAACATTGTATCCAGTAGGCTACATCATCATTTATTTACTTACATCATATTTTATTTGGTATTAGTATTGTTAGTTTTATTTAGAATGTATTTATCACAATTTATTTAGTTCTACTAAGAACCCAGATGTGACCTTAATTTTCAGTTTTACAAATATTGTTGCAATGTACATCCTTATTCACTACATTTTATGTACTTAGGGAAGTTTTTCTGTGGGACAGCTCCCCAGAACCTTTTGATTCTTAGAAATTCAGTTCACATGTCAGCTGGAGCTGTTTGTCTGTATTCTCACAATACTTTATATGTATTATTTATAATGGGCATGCTATTGTCATTGTAAATTTATGTTTGTTCCCTCACTTGAAGGAGGGTTGCAACCCAGTGGGCAACTTTTATAGCGCTCATGTTGTCTCCTGGCCCTTGAACTCTTTACATCATCTGCTTGCTCCTGCTTTGCTCTTAAACTAAACAACAAAATCCTTACCTATGTGATATTTTTCTTAGGAGTATGAAATTCTTAAAAGACTCCATCTGAGTAATATCATACCGGTAGAAATTGATGATGAGGATTATAGAAACATTAGGAATGAGATCATTATGTAGTTACTTGGGAGTTTTTTAAGAAAAAAAATGCACAGCTGAAAATTTACCATTTATAATTCTACCTTCCCAGGTATTTCAGCCTTCACCTGCAGATCATGAGAAATACGGTGGGGATCCACAGCACCCTCATAAACTGCATATTGTTACCAGAATAAAGAGTACAAAAAGACGTCCATATTGGGAAAAGGACATAATAAAGATGCTTGGATTAGAAAAAGTATGCAACTATCCTAGTCATCTTTAGTGTTGTTTAAATTTGCTTTAAATTTTATACTTTTTAAACTTTAAGATATACTTTTATTATTTCTTTGGTCGAGATGTATTATTTAGTGTAATTTATTTGAAAGTTGATTTAGAACAAATGTCCATTTAACTTAATGTTTTACTGAAACCTGGGACCACATGCTTTTGAAATCGATCCATAATGTTGTTTCCTTACTTACAGGCACACACTCCTCAAGTTCACAAGAATATCCCTTCAGTGAATGCAAAATTGAAAGTGGTTAAACATTTGATAAGGTATGTTGTTTATTACTTCAGTAGTTTAAACAAACTTGTTACCTAGTTTAATTCTAAAAGCATTTTCTTATGTCACAGAATCCAGCCTCTGAAATTGCCACAAGGACTTCCAGCAGAGGAGGACATGTCTAACACGTGCCTCAAGAGCACTGGGGAATTAGTAGTGAAGTGGCATCTAAGCCCTGTAGAACAGGAAGCAGTTAAGTCCTAATGCCAGGGCAGTCCACGTTAAAAAAGGCAAATCATTTTTATTTAAAGATGGTGAGAAAGTTCTCATTAAATGTACTTCAAACATTAATTATTTTCACTGACTACACCTGGTGTGTTTCTTCCTTATATAGGCGTCGGGGTTTTTGTGCTAATTGGTTTAACTCTCTCCTTTCCCTCTAATAGTTTCACTGCAAAATGGGTTAAGAATGGCATTGTTTAAACAACTGAATCAGATTTCACCATTGTAATGGTCATTAGCTTTCTTAAAGTACTGTTTTCTCATTTAACTGAATTCAGTGAATTCTCTGAGTGCTCTTTGAGTGAAGAGTGTGTTGTGTGTTGGAGAAAACCCAGAGCTGACCAGAATAATGGGTGCTTATTCTGTCCCACTAGAGAACAGAGATTCAGCCAAATTCATTAAGCATTTGGTGCTGCTAGATCAGCTGCTTTGTGCTTTTGTGTCTATAAATATGTGGTCTTGGCTGCATTTGATCCTTAAATTTAATACCAGAAATAGTATCTATTTTCTAATTACAAATCTAATTTGCCCTAACTTTTATTGGTGTTCTTTGAACTCCTAAGAAACTTCTGTCAACAGTTGAGGTTGCTGTTTAAAAGAAGAAAAAGAAGGATAAATTCTTTTAGAGAAAGTTTTATATCCTTTTTTTTCTATTTCAGATAATTGAAGGGGTAGAGGAAAGTAAGAATTTTAGGGGGCGTTCAATACTGGGAAATTCTGTGGCAGTTAATTAAAGGTGATGGTGAAAAATCTCTGAATTCTAGTTGCCCTTTATTTCTCTTTGTCACTTGTAAAATTTGGCCTGAGCAGCAGTCCTTGTTTGTGGCGTCCATCCTGTCATAGGCCTTGATGCTTTGGGACTGCAGGCAGAAGTGGCACCTCAAGTGGAGCCAGATCCATGAATTAAAAAGCCTAAAGGCAACTATAGTTTCAGTGCAATAGTGATTGAAATCAAGGGTGTGTAAGGCCTGGAGGGGTATAAAGCCAAAGGACACTAACTTAGAGAGTTCAGTCTAATTGGAGAGAGACTTGTATGCCACAAGGAAAGGCGCTACATTTGGGATGAGGACAGCTGTGTATAAAAAAGCTGGCCTCTGCTAATTTATTGCCATCTCTTTTCCTGTGCTAATAATGTTTAAAATGGGGGAATTGGACATTGGTCAACTTTTACCCAAAGGGTCTAATAAAGTTTGGTTAAGTAATTTAAATCTCAACAACCCACAACTAGAGGAAAGGATCTAAAGGTTAGGTTGCATATTTAGAAAATAAATTGTGTAGAAGAGCAAAGGGAGAAAATGGGTATGGGCTAGCTCCTTAGTTTCCTATTCCTGTGTAACAAATTACCAAAACTTAGCTGCTTAAAATAATACATGCTTATTACCTCACCATTTCTGTGGGTCAGAAGTCTGGGCTTTGTGGGGTAGTCTGCTTAACTACCAGCTATAATACTGGGTTCTTATCAGGGTCTTGCCTGGTAAAGGATCTGCTTCTAAACTCTTGGGTTGTTGGCAGAAGTCATTTCCATGTGGCTGTAGGATTCATAGCAAGTTGCTTCTTCAAAACCGGAAGAAAGAGTCTCTAGCAAGATGGGTGCTACACTCTGATGACCGTGTGAGTGCAGTCAGGTACATTCCATCACCTTTGTTGCATTCCATTGGTTAGAAGCAAGTTACAGGTGTGACTACTGGGGACAGGGATCTTGGGGGCCTCCTTAAAGACTGCCTGCCTCTGGAGCCTCCCTGGAGTGGCATTCCTTTGTCTTGTATCATTTCAAAACCTTCTAAGGATTTCTCCCTCAGTCTTGTCTCCATGTAGCTGAGAATTGCTTTGTTCCATTTCATCTGCCTTGTTTCAGGACCTTGTGTTTGGCCTCTCATTGGTGACGATTGGCATTTGGTCAAGCTTAGGGAGATGAAGTTACCCAAGCACTGTCATTAAAGCCCTTTCCAATTTTCTTACGGTCTTCTCAGTCTCAAATTGTCCCTCTTTCAGGCCAGATAACCTGTTTCCAACATCTTTGCTCATTACAGAACTAACCAGTATACTTATCATTCTAACTGACACGATTTTTCACCAACAAATTGGAATTACAGTGCCCATTTTGGGGGTTTTGACATAAACAAGATTGTGTATTTAGGAGATACCTTAGAACAAAAAGCAAAGAAACCCCCATACAGAGATTGTTTGTCTTGTTTTCCTAAAAAAAGATCATTTTGTTTAACATAGGTGGTATCCTCTCCTTACTTTTCATATTTAAAGGAGTAGTACTGGCTTTTTGATCACACAGCTTGACTGTGAAAATTTTCAAGGGTCTAAGTTACTGTCTAACCCATCTGTTCTTCTGTATTTGAGTATATATGTCAAAATTTGTTTTCTGCATCTGAACTTTTCACTCTTAACTAACTGTAAGACCTTAGGTAAATCATTAATAATCTTTGGGAAGTCTGGACAGTTTCTAAATAAGAAACAGATGCAAAATGTTAGTCACTAAATAACATTTTCACCCTTTTTTCTTAGAATGGCAATCAATTAGCAAAAGATGGAAATACCATTGGACAATATTCTTTATTTTTGCCTTCCCAAATTACTAAAATGATGTGAAATAAGTACTCATGCAGAACAAAGTAGCTAAACAATTCATTTTTTTCTCTAATTTCCTTTATTGTCTAGAGAAATGAAAATTTGTGGATCACTTTAAAAATAATATAAACAACTCATATTATTTATATTATAAATAATATAAACCAGGTACAGCAGTTACAGAAATACAAATATATATATAGCATAATGGATATTATTTTTCTGCTTATTAAGATGGCAAATTTAGTATGATACATTTTTTATTTAATATACTGATTCTATTTTAAAGCTACAGATATAAACTTTAAATCTATTAGCTATAGATGCACATGCCTAAATACATACATACAATGGTATATTAATGCAATCTGTGCATGAATAATGTAAAATAAAAGTAAAAATAGAATTTGGGTAAGCCAAGGTATTTTTACCCAGAGACTCATTATTTCTTATTTTCAGATACTTATCACTATCTTATCTTCTCTAAAAATCTATTCTTGATTTTGTCTTTCCCCAAATCATCCCAAATTCAAACTAATAAAATCATTAAGATGTATTTTATGCCTAAACTATATGTAGGTTTTCTAAAGTAGCCATCAGCTAGCATAAAGATTTGCTGTTCACTACATAAAGGTAAGGGCAACAGGAATGATTAAGTTTGTCTAAAAATTTTCCAAACTTTAATTCAAAATGATTTTGAGCATTCTTGTCTACCACACTTCATATTGAAACAAACCTGACAAATTAAAAAGAGAGTTGATTTGCCTAGGTTAATTATGTGTAAGTAAAGTCTATTAATTTAAATATCTTTCAATGAATATGTATTTTTCAAGTTAAAAGAAACATAGTCATGTTTAGATACAAAGACTAGTATAATCACTCTTCTCAAAGATTGTTTCCATTGTTCCAGATTCACAAATCCTCCTCCTCTCACCCATTCCCCCTTTTTACTGTAGATCTGAACAGGCACTCGGGAACTGATTCAGTTAAAGGAAATCTCTGGAGACCCATTGCTTGTTTCAGTCTTTTATTAGATGCAGTAGCCAAGACATCCATATCGACTTTATTAAAAACTATAGCAGCAACCAAAGTGTGAAAACATCAGTTGATTTAGTTCTAGGGTCACCACTAAACTTCATGGTTTCCCGTGCTGTACTGTATAGACTCCTGTTGATAAACCCTGAGCATCTTTCAGCCAGTCACCTAACCTATGAATCACTGTTGCTTTCCCTTCACACATCACTGTCTAATATCACAACACTCTAAACCCAGCCGCTCCCTTCCCTCACCCAAAAAGGGAACAGCCCATAAATTGCTTACCTCAGGGAACTATCCATACCCTGCCACAGCCCTTCTAAAGATCCCTTTCCATAACTTTGACTTACTTATTTGTGTAGATTATTCATAGAGAATAACACTAAAAATTGCCAAACAGGCTATGTCATCAAACTTAAGTTTACCTCGAAGTATAAGCTTTCTCAGAAATTGTATCCATTCAGTTTGCTAAGTTAATTGTCCTCAGATCTGCCAACTAACAAAAATATTTATACTGATAGGATAGGTATATGATTTGGGGTTATTCCATGACTTTGAAGTACTTTAGAAACATGTCCTGGCCATTAAGGAACCCCTGTAAAATTAAAATGAATTGATTAACTTTGACATGGCTTTGCTGTTATGCACAGAGATGGTCATAATAAAAGCAGAGTTTAGCAAAAATGTTTGGTGACATTACCCACAATGCAGACTGAACCAACACTGGTTGGGTAATTTTAAGCATATTGCTTTGGATGTTTCCAGTGCCATGTTACCTGCCATCAGTGAAATTTTGACAAGATTGGACAGGAACCTAATTGCCCCTTTGAACACCTCAATTTCCTCTAAGCTGGCCAAGGGGGAATTGGTGCTTCTTACTGCATTTACACACTGTAGGGCAAGTTGACCTGTGAGTAGTAGGATAAATTTAAAAAGCCATTGATTCTCTAGAAGAGCAAATTCTGGGACATGTTTTCATTGCCTGGGTTTCATAATCTAAGGTGCTGGCTTTAAGACTTATTGCAAGACTCATAATCCTTTTGTTTCCCGTAATTGCTTAACTGGGTTTCATAATCTAAGGTGCTGGCTTTAAGACTTATTGCAAGACTCATAATCCTTTTGTTTCCCGTAATTGCTTATGTTACAGTTGGCTGATGTACCCTTTCCAGAAACTTAAATGCTACTGTGTAACCATTGTCAGGTCACCTGAATCAACAAGTCACTCTACAAGAGAAGTGGGAGTTATCCCTACTCCCGCTATGGACTGTGTGCTCCGGATGTCCTGGGTTAATGTTTTGTGGCCTAACTTTGCCTGCCCTTGGCCAAAAAAGGGAACTAGAGCAAGAAAGGGAGTGTGACAGCCAGGAACTGGCATGGCTCTACCGAGCTTTGGTGTTTCTAGGGGCTGGCCTGGCACTTACAGGCATTCTGTTGAACATAAGTCATTTCACAGAACTGCAACATCAA